ACATCGACATGATTTTTTTCTCAAAGCCAATTGATTTCTTTAATCAGAGCTTTAAAAACCTGATTGCAAACTGGAAAAGCATCATCGATAAGAATGGTGACTATTTCATTTAATAAATGTTTTGTTTTGATATATAAGTTGTTAGGGTTTTTCATCTAAAAAAAAAAGCGACATTAATTTTTTGACGACCTAATAGAATTTTCGACAACGCGCAAGATCAACGCATTGTGATTTTGTGTTAAGGTCGATAAGACTATGGTAATTCTTTTAAACATATATAAAACAATAATATTTAAAACGGGAGCCAATCAAGATTAAGTTATTTTCCCCGTTAAGGGCTGGTCTAAAGTGGATTTTGATTATTTTCGTTTATTTTAAAAATAATATTTACAAATAAACAGCTGAAGGCAAGATGTTAAAATGTACTTAATAATCATGAAGCTATACAGACAGAAGTAAAATATTTCAAACAAGCTTTCTGCCTCAATACCAACTATTTTGTCTATAAACTTCTAACTGTAAGCACCTGATCTTAATTCTGATAATTTCGTGTTTAAGGATTAAATATACAGACTAAAATCACACTTTCTAATACTCTACCTTAGCAGACCCCCTGGAGGAGAGTAGGCATAACAAACCAAGTTCGGGAAGTCTTGTTTTAGTAGAATGGCGAGGATAGCAGCCGTTCCAGCACCTAAAGAATGTCCAACTAGCACCAAGTCATACTGCGACGTACCCTTTTCCTTCAGTATAAAGAAAAAAAACAAAAACAAAAGAAAACGGACAGATAACGGAGTTATTTATTTGTAGCAAAACGGTTAAAATATCAATAAAACCATTTCACCAAACAATAAAATAAGCAATTATGGAATTAAAATATAATATTATTTTGCACGAAAATTCATAATGTTAATTTACTATGATCCTATAAATATGTGAAGCTACAATAACACAACTTTTATTCAGATAATTTGTTTTGGAGATTTACAACTCTTAAATAAGTCGTCTTATCATTCATTCAAGAACAGAAATATAATGTTTTCTAGTGTAACATATTTTAACATGAACAATATTTAGACATGCACACGCACACGTGAAGCTCAAAAACCGATAAGTTGTCGATTAGTCGCGATTATTTCCCCGAAAGGAGGCCAAAGGCCGCTCGGAGGGGTCACCCGTTTTAACCACCCGCACAACTATACAGCAGACGTCACACAAGGGACGCTTAACGTTGCAATTTGTACTGTCGTGACGTCAGTAAACATTGCGCATGTCATGAATCATGAGAAGAATTATACACTCTGTAGGCTACAACAGAGCATGACATATTTATGATAGAAGTATATGTTGGAAGTGAAATCATTCCAAACAAAAGAAAAAGTGGGGAAGTTAAAATTCAAGAAGCCGTATTAATGAAGACGTGCAAAGTGAAACTGATTTATAGAAATGAAAGGAGTTAAAGGTTAAAAAGAAGGTTATGAAGAAATAAAAAGAAATGACAGGAGTTAAAGGTTAAAAAGAAGGTTATGAAGAAATAAAAAGAAATGACAGAAGGAATTATGGTTTAGATATATAGGGGGAGGTGCAAAAGATGTATAACTGTCACATTTACAACACCAGTATGGTCGGGATAATCTTGGGTTAGGTGTTCAATTTTGTTGGTTATAATGATTATATAGAAAGAAGTATTTGTAAGTAGGCTAAGCTTTTGCTTCTTATTACGTCTGCGGTTCATATTAAAAGTTATTTAGAAATATTCGAAACATTGCTTTTTTGTTTTGTTTGTAATTAAGCACAAAGCTTCAGAATGGGCTATTTGTACTCTGCCCACCAAGGGTATCGAAATCCGGATTCTAGCATGGTAAGTCCGCAGACATACCGCTGTGCCACTGGGGGGCTCGAAACATTGCGTATTGTACATAGCATAACGCAGATAGAGCAAGTTCAGAATTTTATTTCTACCTTAACAGAGGAAATCAAGAGCTGTCCAGGGCAACTACTGCCCTACTGATAAAATATAAGCTTACAAACAAGAATCCAGAAGAAAAGAAAAGGAATTTACTGATTTATACCCAGAACGTTTTGTTTTTAAATAATAAAGTACTAAGTCATGTAGGTGGCTGTAAAAATTGACATATTTGAAAGCCTAAGAAATATTACGGCAAAGGATGAGCAAAAAACACATGAGATTGAGTTAGAGACCACAAACCAATGAGAGAGAAATATAATTATGACTCCATATGTTAATAGAAGCACCTATAACAAGACTCTTCGATGTTACAAATGAGGGTAATTAGGCAACATCACACTTAATGGTAAGACAAGCTTCCCTACGGTCATGCCTAACTGTAAAAACCGTATTAACAAGACGCGTGATGAAAGTGTACTAAATGTGGGCTGTCAGCTGTGAGTTGAACGAAGTCGGGGAATTTCATTGGTCTGTGGAGAGTCGTGTTAAAAACAGATGCTGCTGGTATCTATACTGATGTGTAGTTATTTGAAAGAAGTCAGATCATTTCCTGATCCGTGTATAAAGAAAATAACTAGACAAGGAATATGATAAACGTAAATAGCATTAGCGTATTAATGGAGACATGGGCACATAAGGAGGATAACATAGATTGAAATTTATCTTATAATAAAAACCTGCATCATTCTTAACTCGCACTAAATGAGACATGCGACATGCCTTAACAAACAAGGTTGTAGCAAACTTGTCGAATGTGAACCAAAAAGCCACTGAAAGTCAGGGAAAGTTCAACATTCAGAAAAACTCAACGAACGTGTCCCGATGCTATGTTTAACACCAAGAAGCTTATGACCTTTATTTATGCAACACGATTAATTTAAATGTTATAAGTTTTATTGTATAAAATAAATACGAAAACGAAGTCTAAGGCTGATGACAAAACGTACCTGTCGGCAGTATATCAACTACTTCCATCTTAGGCCATTACTTTCTAATTGTTGGACATTTAGAAGTTAAAGAACCCTCAGAAATGAGAAAAATGTTGTATGGCCAAATCTAAGAACAGATGTATAAAGGTATATTACGTCATGCGACGTCATACAACTAACAAATTAAAAAACAAACAAACAAGAAACTGTTGTTTCCCATTCCTAAGATCAGGGTTTATCTCGAAGGAAATTTCATAGATATGTTTAGGTGCATGCAACCTAAAATGAGAAACGGTATTCGAGTTAAATGTATGACATAACCGTCAGAACTGGATAAGGCAAGATATGAACACCTAACACTGAATTTATCCCAATGCCAATTAAAGGAGGCAGCACTACCCCTGACTTGTCAAAGTTAATACCAAGAGGGGTGTGAGAATCATAATAGGGGTTTAACTGGATGTTATTAGGGTATTACTCAAAATATTTGATTAAACCAGTAAAAAAACAAAAAAAAAACACAACAACAACAACTAGCTTAATATAATGCATAAAACTGGCTTGCCAACAACACTTTAAAATGTTCCGTGTAAATTAATATAACATACATGGAAGCTAGTAACAAAACAATAGGGATAATTCTAGTGCAAAGAAGACAAGACTGTAATGAAAAAAGAAACAAACAATATATGACAAAAATAAATTCCATCGGGAGAGTGGCTGTGTGACAATGGAGAAAGAGTGTCTAACTATTGTATGTGCACGCATCCCATCCAGTCAACACATTGAAATTCAATCTGACTTCTATATGCACCATCCCATCCAGTCAACACATTGGAATTCAATCTGACTTCTATATGCACACATCCCATCCAGTCAACACATTGAAATTCAATTACTATTCCCTGTTTAATATGTAGCTGAAGATTTGTAGGTTTGTTTTACCGAAAATATACACAATTTGCTATCTGTACAGTCGAATTTTTGCTCTATAAGCCAAAAAGCTGCTTATCACCGAGTTAATGGCAGACCCATCTGACAGATAACTATCGACCTGTTGGGTATAAAGCTATTTCATGAAATGTGTTATAGTAATTGACTGATTTGGTAGGATGACCTTAGGCACGTTTTTCATTTAACCTGATAGTCATGATTACACACTATTTCCTGACACTGCAAGTTCCATTGTAACAAGCTTATGTGAATGACAGGAAATACAATCTTATACCTTATGTATTAATATACATTTAACAGACCTTCCAATGTATGTGGTCATTGGCTTTCCAGACCAAATGTACGAAAGTCAATTGGACTTGCATGAGGGACTTGGCAGGTATGTGGCCGAATGGGACCGACGTAATTCCAGTTTTTTGGACATCTTTCTTATAAAAAGAAATGTTGATTTTAATCTGTGGTTGGAGACTTGTAAATTTTGGGCTTATGAGTCTTTTTTCAAATTTAAATCCTTGCTTGTTATCTTGTAAATGACAATAGAAAATATGTCCAGCTTCGTTGCAATAGATTTTTGGATTGAAGCGTTTTCTTTTGTAACCACAGCTTTCGCTTTGCAGATGAAGGTGTTATTCCAGCTTGGTTTGAGGTATAATTTTGGAGCTTGTTGCAACCCCAAATGTTTTGATCTACGAGTTTTCTGCTTTTACGGAGAACATTGAAGGTACACCTGTTTGAAATGTCAGGTTCTTTGACTTTATATTGTCATGAATGTTTTTCTTTGGAAAGACTTTTTATATTCCTCCAGCCATAAGTCTAGCTGTGGCAACACACACCTGTGGCAACAATTTATCATGCCACTGCTTTAGCATATGCAAGTTACTCAAATAAAGCGCAATTAATCCCCTGTATTTAAAGTACATAGAAACTTTGTTTTGACTCTTAATACTGCAGATTTTCTATGCCACGCTACAGTGTTAATCTGACATCATCAACTTCCATGCCCTTTTGTCACCTGATGATGGCGGAAGGTCACATGTCATAGAAATTTTGTTTTGCCATTTAATATTGCAGATTTTCATTTAACTCAGAGTTTTTACTAGTCCTTCATTTCAAACTTTTCCTTCGAGCTTTCAGTTATATTTGGAGTACAACTACTATTGAAGGAGAGGGGGAAGGTCACTGTCATAACCATTTGCTATATGCTGTAAAAGCATACAGCTTGGTTGGAGTAAAGCACAAAGCTACACAACGGGCTATCTGTTCTCTGCCCACCTAATCTAATCCCGCTTTCTGGCCTTGTAAGTCCGCAGACATACCATTGGGGCAAAAGCATACAGATACTATGAAGAAAGTTTGCAGAATTTTGATACTGGCCGCCTGTGAAAATTAAGATGTAATGAAATGTTGCATAATTTGGATAGTGGCTGCCTGTGAAAATTAAGATGTAATGAAATGTTGCATAATTTGGATACTGGCTGCCTGTGAAAATTATGATGTAATGAAATGTTGCATAATTTGGATACTGGCTGCCTGTGAAAATTAAGATATAATGAAATGTTGCATAATTTCGATACTGGCTGCCTGTGAAAATTAAGATGTAATGAAATGTTGCATAATTTGGATACTGGCTGCCTGTGAAATTAAGATGTAATGAAATGTTGCATAATTTGGATACTGGCTGCCTGTGAAAATTAAATTGTAATTTGACTTAACAATTACGGAGTGAGGGTTCTATATTGTAACTTGACTCAACAGTTACGAAGCGAGGGTTCTACATTGTAATTTTACTTAATAGTTATATAGCGAGAGTTCTATATTATAATTTGACTCAAGAATTACAGAGCGAGGGGTTCTACATTGTAATTTAGCTCAACCATTACGGAACGAGGATTCTACATTGTATTTTAACTCAACTTAAGTAACCTGCGAAAATTATCTAAAATCATTAGAAAATTGGACGTTTGAACTCAAAAACTATAGGAAATATTTGTAGCAAACTATTCACCAGCTACATGTATCCAAATAAGCAACATTTCATTACTGTTTGGCTTTCACAGGCTCCACTTATCCATATTCTGCATAATTGCATAATACTTAACTTTCACAGGCTGCCACTATCCAAATTATGCAACATTTCATTACATCTTAATTTTCACAGGCAGCCAGTACCCAAATTATGCAACATTTCATTACATCACAGAACCATCGATCTGTAATTGTTGAGTCAAATTACAATATAGAGCCCTCACTCCGTAATTGTTAAGTCAAATTACAATACAGAACCATCGATCTGTAATTGTTGAGTCAAATTACAATATAGAGCCCTCGCTCTGTAATTGTTGAGTCAAATTACAATACAGAACCATCGATCTGTAATTGTTGAGTCAAATTACAATATAGAGCCCTCACTCCGTAATTGTTAAGTCAAATTACAATGTAGAACCATCGATCTGTAATTGTTGAGTCAAATTACAATATAGAGCCCTCGCTCTGTAATTGTTGAGTCAAATTCCAATGTAGAACCCTCGTTTCGTAATTTCGTACTTTATTTTGTACATGGACACCTATGGAATCGACTCTTTCTTTGACTGATAAACAAAAACTACAGTTTTGACATAATGTTTATGGATAATGAGTAATTAAGTGTATACATGTTAAGTTTCGACAGAAAACATAGTTACTTACAGGACTATAACGAAAGGCTTGCGTCAAGATCCCTTCCTCTACCAGTTTACGCCGAATGTAGACTGCTGCTAACACCATCCCCTGCAACGAAAAACACAACAACCAGATTTCTGTCACAGACATTTATGCAACACACTGTTGCGCACTAGAATATTAAGAGAAACTGTGAGCGACTTCAATTTAATCAAACGACTCAAGAACTGAAGTCTGAGTTGTTCTCCAATTTAAGGTTCTTATATGAATGTCTTAGTAATAAACACATTTAACTAGAAAATAATATCATTTGTTCATCTAGGAAACTGATTTCCACGTGGTTAGCATGTTGGGCTGTGGATCAAAGGGTTGTGGGACATGTTTCCGTGGAATATATTCTATAACAATCATTTTCATTAATTCATTCAAACAGCCGGATAAAGCTTAAAAGAACCTCACATTAAAGCTGTTCTTTTATTTAAATACCCTACTGTCGTCAGTAAATGACTCCATCGTCTTTCATGTTTTTCAGATATTAATCCTACTAGATCTGACTCACAACAGACTTCAAGTTCTCACTGATTAGTGCCTGGCGTAGCCTTGCTGCGGACTAAAGTGTTCAGAGTTCGGGACGTACGGCTGCTGAGGACACTCCGTGCTTTAAGCTGTGGGTGCATTATAAGAAACAAACAAACTGTTATTTGACTCAAAGAGCCGGACAAAGCCATTTTGGTGGCGGTTGCTGAGATTCGCTGCCTTTCTTTGAGCAGTAGGACAAAATTTGGAACAGCTATATCTGAACTCTAGAGATTGCCCGGCATGGCCAGGTGGTTCAGGCACTCGACTCGCAATCTGAGTGTTGCGGGTTCGAATCCCCGTCCCACCAAACATGCTCGCTCTTTCAGCCGTGAGGGCGTTATAATGTGACGGTCAATCCCACTATTCGTTGGTGAAAGAGTAGCCCAAGAGTTGGCGGTGGGTGGTGATGACTAGCTGCCTTCTCTCTAGTCTTACACTGCTAAATTAGGGACGGCTAGCGCAGATAGCCCTCGTGTAGCTTTGCGCGAAATTCAAAACAAACAAACAAGTCACGTACGCGTCTTAATTGAATGTGAATCCAATATGATTTTTAAATGTCACTTTTCTTAATTTATCGTATTATTTCAAATGTTTGAAAGTTGTTTTTCACGATGTCGTGGAACATTCAGATCGTCGGGTTTACTTTCCTTCACCTGATCTAATCGTCCAGCCATCTTTAAGATTTAAACATTTTATTACGAAAATTTATTTTCCTATTTCTAAGAAAGTCGAGTGCTTATAAACTTAAGTTTTCACTACTTCTCAAACTTTAATGAAATTGCGAAGTGTAATCGGATAGTGGTTCAAAATATTCTGAAAAAAATAAGTTCGAATTAATCCACTTATTAATATGCTAGCAGCGATCATCAGGTGTACCAAAAACTTAATATGCTAACAAAATAAAAATCCAGTAAGCAGACAAAACCTCAATGGAAAATCTTCTTCTTTTCTACTTTGTCTGAACTATTTAAATCTCCTGGTAATTACCATTTAAAAAATGTAGGATTATCATGGTTATGGTGACTTTAATCTGCTGACTCGTGTCTCGTGCACTTTGCACAAGACTCTCTCTAAAAGCTTTACTTAATGCAATTAAAACAGAGCTGTTCATGCGATCCACCAGCTCTAGAATCATCTGGACGTTGAAGGTTTGACGATTTGTAATTAATTTACTCGTCATTTATTAAAATCATAGAATTATTGTTTTAGTTTTTTCATCGGTAAGAACGAACATGACAATCATATTTGGAAGGCAGTTTTAATAGGTTTGCTTGCAAATGTTTTAAGTTGTGAATACTTGTCCTCCGGTGAGACAGCGGCCAGTTTACGTAGTTACAACCATAAAATCCGAGGTTCGATTCCCCTGAGGTGAAGGTAGCAGATAGCCCAATGTGTCTTTGCTCTAAGATATACACGTGAATAAATAATTTTATGCTAAGAGTAAATAGGTTGAAAAAATAATGTAAACCACCTGTTTTTTATTATATTTTTAAATTATCATATCTATAATCGAATTATGAATGTTGCCACTTTCTAATTAAATCTAAAAATATTTTCCTGTGCACTAATTTTGTTTTTTAAATTTTGACCACAGGTTAAATGACGATGAACTTTGTAAGCCATTCCATTTACGTAAATGTGTTTAGTTTATAAAGAAACACAATACAAAAACATTATTGTACAGTAAATAAGATATAACCTTAAAATTAGGCCCGGCATGGCCAGGTGGTTAGGGCGCCCGACTCGTAATCTGAGGGTCGCGGGCTCGAATCTCCGTCCCACTAAACATGCTCGCCCTTACAGCCGTGGGACGTTATACCTAACGGCCAATCCCACTATTCGTTGGTAAAAGAGTAGCCCAAGAGTTGGCGGTGGGTGGTGATGACTAGCTGCCTTCCCTCTAGTCTTACAGTGCAAAATTAGGAACAGCTAGCGCAGATAGCCCTGGTGTAGCTTTGTGCGAAATTCAAAACAAACCGTAAAATTTATATTACACAATTTACAGCGTATTTACATTACACCAACTACTGAGAAATGTGAGTAAGTTGTAGATCATTAACTATGAAGTTCAAAGACATTTTGCAACTAGAACAATCTTAGATTCTAACTACATCTGGCTCTTATGTCTGAGAATTAAAATAACGTTTCATAAAGAAAGGAAAGTATATTAAAAGCATAAAATCACAGATGAATTAGCTTGCTTGCTAAATTATAATTCAAATCTGTACATGTTTAAAACTGCAACAAATAATAACAAAGAAGAAAATAACAGGTTTTAACTTTTTTTTTTCTGAAAATGCATTGAAGAAAAAATAAATATATTAAAAGTATATTTAACTTCGTTAGGTCTAGAAATAAAAACAAAATTGTAGATGTTCTATAATATTCGGAGTTCTTTTCTAAAGTGTTATGAAATCACTTTTAATGGTCAATATGGATCTTGTTTTGTGATTTTTAACGTGTAATAGCGCATTAAAGAATTGACAAATCAATAGCTTAGACACTATAACTGAAAACTGGCATATATATATATATATATAAAAGTTTGAAATATTATTTTGTAGTTTATAAGAAATGCATACAAAATACAAACATTTAAAATTAGAAAGTTGTTGACACTGTTCGTTTACGTATATGTTAGTAATATATCTTTTTTATGACGTCCTATAGCGTTTTGAACATAGAATAAGGCCGTTGTTACACACGTACGTGTAATAATAGTTATGAAAATCCACTTTAGAGCATGTTAAACGTCCATCACTATATATATATATAATATTTGTGGTGCGTAATGGAGGTACCAGAATAGGAAAATAAAGGTTAGTCATTACCGTTGCATGGTAACGAAAATAATGACAGGCTAACCTAAATTGAACGTATATATATATATATATAATCCAGCTAGGATAATGACAGAAAAAGCTATTGCAGTCCATCACTCCTCAATAATCGGCAGGAGTATAATAAAACAAGCAATTCATGAGATTAAAAGTAAGTTGTAATAAAATATCATCTAGTATCGAACATGAACATTTAAGATACGAATTGTTTAAACACTTACTCCTTGCCATATAATATATCATCAAAGGATATTATGTCTCAAAAAAAAGAGACTATAATAGATTTTAGCAATTTCCTGCACCTGCTTTCAACAAACAGAAATAGATTGAAAAATATATTTAACATTGCAGCGACAACAAATAGAAATAAAATATATGGATTAAATTCATATAAAGTTTAACATTTAAAGGAAGAACAAAACACAACAGCATCTTCATTATTGTAGATAATATTAGAAACACGAATCTGAAACACCCATGTCAATAACAAGCCATAAATAAACACAAAAACGATAGACAAATAAAACTGTGACTCCAATAAGAAC